CTGGCAGCAAGAGAAACAAAGGTGTATGTCTGAATAAAACTCTGAACTCCACACTTCTATGGGCAGGCTTTATCCTATGTAGATTGTTTCTCCAGAGAGTATATTTAACATTTTTAAATCTCAAAGAAGGAAAGCATAAACCATAAATGAAAATCACAGCATCACTCATTTTGGACTACTTTTCCAATTATGGTCTCTTGATTCTTCCTCCATCCCACTTTTATTTTATCTTATTTTAAAGATTTGATTTTATTTTATGTGTTTGAGTGTTTGCATGCATGTATGTCTATGTATTGCCCGTATTCCTGATGGCCTCAAACTCTCTGGAACTAGAGTTAAGGATTGTGGCCACCATGTGGGTGTTGGGAACTGAACCCAGGTCCTCTGCAAAAGCAATAAATGTTCTTAACCACTGAGCCATTTCTTTGAGCTCCTACCATCCCATTTTAAAACTGCCTTCTCAACCCAAATTTCATACTAGCTAAGCTGTAGACTTAGAGACAAAGAGCCTCATGGCCCGTCTAATCTAACTGCTACATGTGAACAGGTGGCGACATCATCGGTTCAGTTTGGACTCCCCCTCCTGACTCAATCATTCTCAGCTGCCAACCATTTTCTGACCTTAGGGTGACACTTAATGCCCTGTGCCCCACTTCCCTGGCCTGAGAAATGGGCGTCTCAAGACTTCCAAGCTTGTTATAAGTTAATAATCAGTTAATATGCAGAGTCCTCGGGGTGGTGCCTATGATGGATACACGTTCAGTAAACAGAGATCTTGAGCACTAACCCTTTGTGTGCAGTGAGAGACCCAGGGTAACTACAATTATTTTACCAGAGTCAGATAGCTAGACAGTAAGAAAGGCCATATCCAGATGACCCGTGCCCTGTCAAGGCCAGGGCTGTCTCTGAAAGAGCCGTGTGGCCAATAGGTTCCTCTGCACATACACTTTCTAGAACCTGGCCCAACGATGGGTTCCAAGGAAGACACTGGTGCAGCATTGAACTCGGGCACCTGCCCTCACACCCAAGTTCATGCACACACTTTATACAGGAAGAAAGTGTGGTGTGGGGAAAGCTGCAGATGGATCTGCAGGGGAGATCCAACGTCTCCTCGGCTGTATCAAATTCTACTGTATCTCTCCTCCTCAAAGCAGCCTGTTTGGCCCTACTTGTGAAATAAACAATTAAAGGAAGGAGAAGACTTGGCCACAGACATGTGTCAAAAGAAAACAGAAGCGAAGTGGGTGACAAGACAGTGTCTGGAGCGACCACACACCTTCTCCCTGGTATGCAGTCTCAGAGAAGAGTCGTGTTCCCAACCAGCTGGCTGCAGTCCTGGTAGGGCAGGGATCATATGGCCACTATTTCCTGAGTACTTATTACATGTGCATAGATGAGAAATACAGGACTGGTCTTCGGCAGTTTTTCTACCCATAGGTATTTGAAGGAGACAACTAATGGCATCAGATGAGCCGGAACGGCAGCAGCCGGCTTCCTCTGGCTCACGGTTCTCAGGCAAACCTCGGATGCTGGGACTCAGCCTGACAAGTGTTACAACTCTTGCGTTGGCCTCAAAGTTTGGATTCCTCAACCTTTGACAGCGGCCAAGACTACAGCACCCAGCCCTGGGGAGTCTTTAGGCCCTTGGCCTTTGGAACTGCTGGTGCTCTTACCATTGTCAGTGTCTTGGCCATTGCCACCACTGCCTCTCCTGTGCAGCTCTCAGACCTCTCCCACAGGAAGGCCTGTAGTTCCCTGAGATTCCCTGCTTCTGAGAGTCAGCCACTTCTTGATGCCCCAGTGACTCAATTTGCCAGCCACTCTACCAAGAGAGCTGGATCGACATCAAGAACTGGAAACGCAGAGTCTGTGTCAGTCATAGCACACCTTTCGTGCACACAGAGGCTGTGTCTACACCAGTCCTAACACTGCCCCATGTGCACCAGTACAGCAATCCCCCTGCCAGCTGCCCAGCGGACGTTCTGTGACTTAGATAAGCCGGTTTGCAGAGAAAGTTCCACTTACACTGCTTCTAGCAGTCAGTCAGCACTGCACCCTCAAAGCCAGAGCAAGTGTTGAGACCTTAGTGGAGCTTCCACAGAGCATCCCTTGGTCATTCCCAGCAGCTGGTGTTGGTGTAAGAGTGGTTCTATTGACTGCCTGACTCACAGTCCTTTTGCCCAAGGCAGCCAGGGTAGGAGCGGAGATTCCAGCAACTGGGGGTAGGGGGGGGTGTGTCTGTCCAATCCACACTTCCTGGCTTCTTCATAGGAAAATAAATGTTAGAAGTGCTTATAGTAGGAGCTTCTCATTGACATTGATAGTGGTTTTAAATTATTTTAATGGTGCCCGAACAATGACTGACACTTGATCAGTGCCCCCAGGAAAAGGAAAGTCCCATTTCCTTCGTCTCAGCCACAGACAGTATGGCTTGATAAATTTGGTCAAAACATTCTGCATTATCAAGGAGAAAATGACAGGAATACTGTGATAAAGGCATTAAGAGTATGTGCAAGGGGCTGGAGAGAGGGCACAGTGGATGAGCACACTTGATATGCAAGCAGCAGGGCCTGAGTTTGACTTTGAAAGCCTATGTAAATGCAGCCCCTGTGCCTGTCACTCCAGAGCTGTGAAAGCAGGATGAGGGGATCACTGGGGCTCGCTGGCCAGCAGTCTAGTTCCTTTTCAATGGGAGAGCCTTTCCCCAAGGAATAAAGCAGAACCAGATATCCTTCTTGCACCTCTGCCACATGCACAGACCTGTGACATGCACACATACATGCATTTACACCACATTCCCACACAAAAATATTCTCTCTCAAATCAGACGGGGTGGGGGGGGGAAGAGGGAGAGAGAAAGAGAGAAAGAGAGAGAATTATAAACAGGATTATAAAGACAAAAAAAATCCAGACCTTGGAGCTGCAGAGATGGCACAGAGTTTAAGAACACTGGCTATTGTTCCAGAGGGCCTGAGTTCAATTCCCAGCAACCACATGGTGGCTCACAACCACCTATAATGAGATCCAGTGCCCTCTTCTGGTGTGCAGGAATACATGCAGGCAGAGTGCTTATACATAATAAATAAGTAAATCTTTTAAAAATTTTTCAGAACTTGTTAAAATTTAAATTATTACTTTTGCATGCTTCCTGAGGAAGAGTTAATATATATTAAGGAATGTACTCAAAATAAAAAATAGAAAGTGTTTCTTTTTTAAATTATTATTTATTTATTCTGTGTGTGTGTGTGTGTGTGTGTGTTTAAGTTTATGTGCACCACACGCATGCAGGAGCCTGTGGAGGCCAGAAGAAGGCATTGTATCACCTGGAACTGGAGTTACAGGCAATAGTAGCACCATATGGGTGCTGGAAACTGAATCTGGGTCCTCTGCAAGAGAAGTAAGCACTCTTAACTACTAAGCAAGCCGTCTCTTCAGTCCTGGAAATTATTTCTTTTAAAAATCTATTTTAAAAATCTTAGTTTTAGGAAGTGGGCTACAGAACCTAGATCTTAATTTTTTTTTGGTCTGAATCTGCTTGATTTAGCCCAGTTTCACTGGTTATCATAGTGATATCACTAGACAGAGTGATAATGGACATACATGTCTTATTCATGACCTTAAGGGGGAAGGCATTCAGTAAACCAGTGCCTAAAGAAGAGGAATTTGCCTGAATCAGTCCTTGGTGTAGAATTTCTTGAACAGAGCCACCATCCCATTGTAAGGGAATGTTTCATTCATCTGGTCATTCCAACGATGGGCATTTGGATTGCTTCCACTTAGGATTATTATGGTAATGTCACTATGAACATGTGTACACAAGGAGTTTTTATGTGGCGTGTATTTCATTCACCTGTCTTGAATGGGTACCTGTGTGTAGAATTGCTGGGCTGGATGGCAACTCTGTATGAACTTTCTGTTAAACTGCAAGATGCTTTTCCAAAGCCAGTGCTCAAGTTCAGAGAGACACTTTAGCCACCCCAGCCTGGCCACACTGTACCTCAGGCAGGAAAACAGGATCCTGAGGTGTAGTAGAAACGCCTGTGCCATGCTCATGTCTGGACCTGTCTTCTCACTTAGTGCCTCAGGGCTGTAGAACCAGGCCTTCAGCAGAGCACAGGGCTTCAGGCATGGGCTTGTGATCCTGGACAAAGTGCTTTGATTTCCTATGCTTCTGCTTCCCAGTGAATAAAACAGGCAGTGGATCTGGGCATAGTGGCACAGGCTTTTAATTCCTGCACTCAAGAGGCAGAGGTGGGCAGATTTTTTAATTTCAAGATCAGTCCAATCTACAAAGTAAGTTCCAGGCCAGCCAGAGCTGTGTGGTGAGACCCTGCCTCAAAACAAACAAACAAAAAGCTGTGATGGGGGTGTTCATGCCATATTTTGTGATTAAATAGCCTGAAACACTAAGGATCGTGCCTCAAAGGCAATAAAATGCATTTAAACACTTAAATAACTCATGCGTATTAGCAATTATTACCGTTGCATTTTGTGCAGGTCCCTGCAATCCCTGACTCAAGAATATACCATAACTGACTGTCAACAGTGGTAACCAGGGCTCCAGCTGCACTCTTTCTGTTTCTATTTTGGCAGCAAGACATCTCCACAGAATCAAAACCACAGGGAAAGAAGGTTCAGACAACAAAAGTCTTGTTGTTTCTCCTCTCCCTCCCCACACCCAACTAAGGAGTTGCCAGGAAGGTCATGATTCCACAAGGTCATGCTGTGTCTGCGGAGGTTTTCAGCTAACTGTGGTCAGGGGAGATATATTCCTCCCCATCTTCAAAAGAGTGCTTCCTACACCAGTTACATTTGTATGATCAACAAAGCCTTGGCTTACGAGAGCTACCACGGACACATGCAAGCACTCTAAGAAAAACTGGAGAAAGACCTCCTCTTCAGTTCAGGTTTCTTCCTTATGAGACATTCACAGTACACAACCAACATAGCCACACGTGGTGGTTCATGGCTCCCATTCATTCATCTCTGTTCATCTTCAGGTCCTGAAGCACCTGCGGCACCTAAACTTTACCAACAACATGGGGGAGCAGGTGACGTTCGATGAGTGTGGTGACCTGGTGGGGAACTATTCCATCATCAACTGGCACCTCTCCCCAGAGGACGGCTCCATTGTGTTCAAGGAAGTTGGGCATTACAATGCATACGCCAAGAAGGGAGAGAGACTCTTCATCAATGAGGAGAAGATCTTGTGGAGTGGGTTCTCCAGGGAGGTATGAGCAGAGCATGCCACAGCCACCACAGACGGGGAACTGCTGGCTTGGGGGCGTGGCTGGGATCCATCACGGCCTTCTAGAATAGTGTCTGGGCAGCATAGGAAACTGAATGTCCAGGGGTCCCACGAACTGCAAGAGTGTCTAGTGATGAGAGGGAGCCTGGGAACCCACGTTTTATTATTCACCCCTCTTTTAACTCCCCGGCTAGTCATTAAGTTTCCCAGGCTAAAACTTCCCCCCAACAAGAGCAAAATATTTAAATAAACATCTCTCCAGTCAATGGCTCTCAAGTGGCATTGAGGAAAACATCTAACCTACCTTATAGAGGGGATTTGAAATTGAGATTGAAGCGACTTCCTTATAGATTGTCACAATGATCAGGAAGAATTAACGGCCTTCAACACTTGGGGTTCAGGGATGCTAAATGTCCAGCATGCATGGGATGGTCTTTTACGGCATTTTCCTCCTAGCCTAATTTCTATTAAACGTGAAGAGATGTGAGCCCAAAATAGAGATCTATGATTTAGAATAGGGACATTCAAATAGCTCCAGGCTGACTCACACATCAGAAAGGTCATTCATTATATGACCAAGAGAAAAATGCTTATGACTCTGGTCAAGGTGTCCTGCCCCATGTCTCATATGAAAGCCTGATTAATAACCAGAAGCCTGTCACTCTGTGAAGATGCTCCTTAAGAAAAGCCATAGGGTAAGCTGAGATGATGACCATTCTGGGTGGCTGTGTGCTAATGTACTGGTAAGTTTTCTGTCAACTTGACATAGCTAGGATCATCTGGGGGAAAAAAAGGACACCTCAATTGAAAAGAAAAATGGTCCTATCAGATTTGCTTCTGAGGAAATCCATGAAGTGTTTTATTGGATTTAATGATTGGTGTGGGAATGCCCAGCCCAGGGTGGCTGTTGCCCGAGTTGCATACAAGAGCAGTGTGAGCAAGCCAAGGGGAGCAAGCCAGTGAGCAGCTTTTCTCTGCTGCCTCTGCTTCAGCTCCTGCCTCCAGTTCCAGTCCTGGCTTTCGGTGATGATGGACTGCAACCTGAAGGCGGAATAAACCATTTCCTCCCCAAGCTGTTTTTGGTCGTAGTGTTTAGCAACAAAAACATTAACTAGGCTGCTAAAATGCAGCAAGATCCAGAACCCCAGCTACTCTGCAAAAGCAGACTCAGGACCAGGCATCCTCTTTAGCTCCCTGGGGAGTCTGGCTGAGATCCACTGCATTGCTCTTTGTATTGGCTTTCTGTTATGATCTTTGAGCTTCCTGAGCCACTTTTCATTAAGTAAACAAAGAGTCAACTTGCTCTCATTGCCAAATGGCTATGATTTTTCTGTTTCTCAGAATGTTAGATGGCTTTGCCATCCGGAGGTCTCCTATGACAGTTAATCCCACCTGGGGCAAATTCTCCTCTCAGTTACGGGATGTGGTCCTGACTTTTCCCTGATGAAAGTTTTTGGGATTCCACAGGTTAAAGTCTTATGCCCACTAATTTGTCTACATGTAAAATGACCGGAACCCAAACTGACAGGCTACCCCATCATCCTGTACCCCTATTACATTACCAGGTTATCATTTGCCCTATTAATGCAAGCAATTATCTATCATTGGTACATGTCTTATCTCTCCTCCTGCTTGGAGCTATCCCTGTACACTTCCCTGTAAACCTAATGTCCTCTATCGGGCTATGGGCACGACAGACTTCATCGTTAGTAAATGTGTAACCGAGGTAATCATTATAAACGCAGTCATTTGTGTCCCTATCGACTTGACAAGATTATAAATTAAATTTCAATTTTCTATAGAAATATGATCTGAGAGCTAGCACACAGTAGGAACCCAATAAACCTCAGAGTCTAAATGACACTTTTCTGAGAATTTTGTTGAAGCCACCACAAAAACACCACATACGTTTAATTATAAATTACATATTAATTTCTTTACAATTTTCATGAAGTTGCTACTGAAATCAACTGAGACCCAGGACTTGTGTGTTTGAAGCAAACTGCCAAATACATCCGCACTTGGCCTGATCACCTTTTGCTTTTACAGGGAACAGGAGCAAGGACCCTGACCCTCTCTCCATCTAGAATGACCCAGAGTTAGCCTCACTGATCCTTATATGCCCAGACTCCTCACTTTGCACATGTCAAAGGAGTTGTCGGACTGACTGTTGACACACACACCCCACCTCTCCCTTCTGTGCTCTCCGCCTGCAGGTGCCCTTCTCCAACTGCAGCCGGGACTGTCTGGCAGGGACCAGGAAGGGGATCATTGAGGGGGAGCCCACCTGCTGCTTTGAGTGTGTGGAGTGTCCCGATGGGGAGTACAGTGATGAGACAGGTAAAGAATCAGACCCTCACAGATTCTGTGTTGGACTTGGGCTGCTGTCGGGGGCCGGTGTTAGCCCGAACTCTAAATTATTTCTCTCGACCAGACCCCAACATAAACTATCTCTCTCTGGACCAGCGTGGAGGCACGGGTATAAAGACACAACTCACATGGCTTTATCGGAGATTCTCCGTGATCACTCATGATATCCTGGGTTCACATCCTGAAGAATTCCTCTTGCCTTATTCTCCAAATAGCTTTTATACCAAAACATAAAATGAGGGGTAAATACATTAGCATCTGTCTCCTAGGTAACCAAGTGAGTGGCTTTTAGTCACGTCCACAACTACCTATGTGCTCTGTATGCTACCTGTCACGTAGGCTTGAATCAGCCTTGAATCTGTATCGGGTATCCTCCAAATTACAAAGAAAGGAGCAAAACAACATCCTGATCTTTTGTTAGGTAACGACAGCCTGTCTGGAAGATTACATGACCATCCTCAGATACTGACTAGCTTGGCTGCCATACCATAGAGAAATATGGGCCTACAGGCTGCCCTCAAGGCAAAGCCCATGGGTGACCTGGGCGGAGCCAGTGCTAGACCCATTCTCCCTCTGAGGAGAGCATGCCTAAGCACTTCACTCCACTGGGCATGAGATGGAAGAGAAAAGGAATGTCGGGAATCATTCCACACGTTTACAAACATTCCTGTCACACACCTTTCCCTCCCTCCAACAGGGTGTCCCTTTTCTTACAGCTCCATGGCCCTAAGTGGGCACAGTGCTATCCACTCCAGGGTTAACAGGCTGTGACAGACTGCCTGCTGGTGCCTGATGTGTTTGCAGTCTCTCTGATGTTCTTTCTGGGTCTCGAGTTCTCCATTCATTCATTCATCCATTCATTTATTTATTTACTATTTTATGTGTGTGTGAATGTGCACTGACTACAAGCCTGGTGGCTGTGGGTGTCAGAAGAGAGTATCAGATCCTAGAGCTGGAGTTACAGATGGTTATGAGCTGCCATGTCAGTTTCTGGACTCCAACATGGGTCCTCTGTAAGAGTAGCAAGTGCTCTTAACCACGGAGTCATCTCTCCAACTCAGTCTCAAGTTCTTCTAAAGCAGAATCACAATCAAACCCCTTATGGAGCTCTGGTAATTAAACAAATTAATATATAAATTCTAAATATATGCCTCTTAAATAAAACTTTGACTAGCATATTGGAAGGATGAGGTAAATATTGACTTTAAGTTTTGATCTTGCCACCTTACCATGATAATGGGCCTATCTTTCCCTCCATCTTAAAAATGAGAAAACAGATTATAGAATGAAGGAGCCTGACCAAAGTTACACTGCTAGTAAATGACATGGCCAGGATCCCACCCTGGTCTCTAACTGAAACATCCACGCTCTCCTCCCTGCTCCAAACTGTACCCTGCCTAGCAGGCAGCGACAACTTAGTAAAAAGTCATTATCTAAGCCAGCATTTCTCAACCTGTGGGTGACGACCCCTATGGGCTTGAACGACCTTTTCACAAGGGTTGAGTATCAGATATTTACATTAAGATTTGTAACCATAGCAAAATTACAGTTAGGAGTAGCAATAAAAATAATCTTATGGTTGGGGGTCACCACAACATGAGGAGCTGTATTAAAGGGTCACAGCATTGGGAAGGCTGAGATAACCACTGATATAGATACTGTTATAGATAGATAGATAGATAGATAGATAGATAGATAGATAGATAGATATAGATATAGATATAGATATAGATATAGACACTGTTCTCCAGTGTGGCCTCCCTCACTGGAGAACATAGACATGACTGGCCACATACAAGGGACATCCATTCTGGCATGGCAACAAAGCCAATCACATACCCCAGATAAACCAGGCTGTGCTGGAGACAGCAGCAATGCTAGCACACTTCACTATTGTAACCAGGCTACTATTTGTTTGCATCCCACAACCCCATCTTGAAAAATCTCAAACATGAACAATTCAGTTAAAAAAAAATCATAAGTTGGGGTTGGTGAGATGGTTCAGCAGTGAAGACCATTGGCTGCTCTTCCAGAGGACTCAGGTTCAATTCCCAGCATCTACATGGCAGCTCACAACTATCTGTAATTCCAGTTCTAGGGGATCTGACACCTTCATATAGACATACATGCAAGCAAAATACCAATGCACATAAAAATTAAGAACAAATAAATCATAAAAATGAAAGCCTCATATTTTAAAAAAAATCATAAGTCAGACAAAACCTGAAGTTGAGTTGATGGGTCATGTTAGATTGCTAGGGTGCAAGGTAGTGTCTGCTATAAACTATTACAGTGTTTTAAAAAAATGGGCCACCCTCAATTGTTGGAGGGGGGAGCAGTAGAACCTGCAAAGATGTTTATTCTTAATAGATGTTAAAAAAAATCATCAGTAAGTAAAATATGAAGCGACCACATCCACCCTCCACATGCACACTTACATTGACTGTGCCACATGGTGATTGAATCTGCCTGCACTGGTTTGTTTTACAGATGCGAGCGCCTGTGACAAGTGCCCGGATGACTTCTGGTCCAATGAAAACCACACTTCCTGCATTGCCAAGGAGATTGAGTTTCTGGCGTGGACCGAGCCCTTCGGAATCGCTCTCACTCTTTTTGCAGTGCTGGGCATCTTCCTGACCGCCTTTGTGCTGGGCGTCTTCATCAAGTTCCGAAACACGCCCATCGTCAAGGCCACCAACCGCGAGCTGTCCTACCTCTTGCTCTTCTCGTTGCTCTGCTGCTTCTCCAGCTCCCTGTTCTTCATCGGGGAGCCCCAGGACTGGACGTGCCGCCTGCGCCAGCCCGCCTTCGGCATCAGCTTCGTGCTCTGTATCTCGTGCATCTTGGTGAAGACCAACCGCGTCCTGCTGGTCTTTGAGGCCAAGATACCCACCAGCTTTCACCGGAAGTGGTGGGGGCTCAACCTGCAGTTCCTGCTAGTTTTCCTCTGCACCTTCATGCAGATCGTCATCTGCGTGATCTGGCTCTACACGGCGCCCCCCTCCAGCTACCGCAACCATGAGCTGGAGGACGAAATCATTTTCATCACGTGCCACGAGGGCTCACTCATGGCGCTCGGCTCCCTCATCGGCTACACCTGCCTGCTGGCTGCCATCTGCTTTTTCTTCGCCTTCAAGTCCCGGAAGCTGCCAGAGAATTTCAACGAAGCCAAGTTCATTACCTTCAGCATGCTCATCTTCTTCATTGTCTGGATCTCCTTCATTCCCGCCTACGCCAGCACCTACGGCAAGTTTGTCTCCGCCGTGGAGGTGATCGCCATCCTGGCTGCCAGCTTCGGCTTGCTGGCCTGCATCTTCTTCAACAAGGTCTACATCATCCTTTTCAAGCCTTCCCGGAACACCATCGAGGAGGTGCGCTGCAGCACCGCGGCGCATGCTTTCAAAGTGGCAGCCCGTGCCACGCTACGTCGCAGCAATGTCTCCCGGAAGCGGTCCAGCAGTCTAGGAGGCTCCACCGGTTCCATTCCCTCCTCCATCAGTAGCAAAAGCAACAGTGAAGACCCGTTCCCACAGCCGGAGAGGCAGAAGCAACAGCAGAGGTTGGCCCTGACCCAGCAAGAACAGCAGCAGCAGCAGCAGCCGCTGACTCTACAGAAACAGCAGCAGCCACAGCAGCCGAGATGCAAACAGAAGGTCATCTTCGGCAGTGGCACAGTCACCTTCTCTCTGAGCTTTGACGAGCCTCAAAAGAGCGCTATGGCCCACAGAAACTCCACGCGGCACAACTCCCTGGAGGCCCAGAAGAACAACGACGCCTTGAGCAGACATCAGGCTCTGCTCCCACTGCAGTGTGCAGACACGGACTCAGAAATGACTATGCAGGAAACGGGTCTGCAAGGGCCCATGATTGGGGACCACCAGCCGGAAATGGAAAGTACAGAAGAAATGTCCCCAGCACTGGTCATGTCCACGTCTCGGAGCTTTGTCATTAGCGGTGGAGGTAGCTCTGTCACGGAAAACATACTGCACTCCTAATGGAGGGAAAAATTGACTGTCGAGCTGACAGCTTTTCTTAGAGGCCCAGGAATAAGAACGAGCCGTTCCCTTCCTCCCAGGAAGCCAGGATGATCGGTACCTCAAATACCTGTACTCGGGATGCACCGCTTTGAATCAAATTAGCTGACTAATGTGCTCTTTAAAGTTAAAGAGACATTTGTTTTCCAGAGCTCAGTATCACACTGCTCCCTCCTTTAAGAATACATGCATAGATCCAGAAATGCCTGCCCTGAGATTTCATGGACAGCATGGTCTGAATCACAGTCCAGAGACAGACCGATGGGACATCAGATCTGTCACTACCAGAGTTGAGTCTGAAAGCCAGACAGTCATGGGGGCTGTCTAACGCATTGACAGTGGACAGGACTTTACATGTTCAAGACATCATGGGGATGTGTCCTCTCTTATTTATGGAGACCTTAAGAAGTGTGGTTGTTTTATCCTCCCTGCTGCTGCTATCGTGTGGCATCTATCGAGCCTGCGTCCTTCCTGTGGGACCATGTCAGGGTGCATCCAGAACCTGATGGCAATGCCATGCTTAGATCTCAGGATCATAAGCTCACCTCTAAGCCCTGGGAAAGGACCGACTAATCCAATGAGCTGTCTCTGTAATTAGTATTGCTGTGCATAGCTTGACCCTTAAGAAAACGCTCTGTTGCTGAAGTCTTGCAGTCTGGATTCTCCAAGGCAGTATTATCGAGTTCTGTTGTTCTTTCCCATCCCTGCACCCTCACTCAGGGGAGCAGAGCACCTGTGGTCCCTCTCAAGACCCCATGGTTCCTGAAACTCCCCTCCAACCCTGCCCTAAAGGCTTTGCGAAGCCAGATCCAGACCTGGCTCTGTGGAGAATAAGCTCCCAGGGGCAAGTGTGGCTCCCAGGGAAGGCCATGGTTCCCTCAGCAGTGAGATTAAAGGTGCTCACAGGTCACCTAACTGCTAGGAACTCAAACTTGGGGCCACAGTGATCAAGGTTCAGGCTCTGGCTTGGTCACTGGCAGGATGAGCAGCAGTAGGCAAGGAACCACAGCCTCTGTAAGCTTCTTTGAGTCTACAGTAGGGTGTTACAGTTCTCTTCCCGTGGAACTCTCACGTGGGGTAAGTGAGAGCATGTGGCAACATATTTCAGCATGGCGCCTGACACCTAATAAATAAGCCCTTAGTGTTAGTAAGTATGATTTGCGGTATAGTGGCTACTAGTTTCCATTGGTTTAGACTATGCTGTAGTTTGGATTGTGACCCTCAAGGTCCACATGTTAGAAGATTGGTCCCTTGGGTGGCCCTCTTGGAAGGTCGTGGTGTCTTCAGGAAGTGGGGCTTAGTAGGACATAGTTCAAGATGTGTTTGCAGGGAGTTATGGGACTCTGGCACCATTCTCTTTCTGTCTCTTACTTCCTGGTCATAAAATGAAGAGTCTCCTCTGACATAAGCCCTTTGTTGCCATCTAGCACCCACCAGGGACCCTAAACAATGGTCCACATGAGCAAGGACCAGAACCTCCAAAACAGAGCATCAAGATTAACTTTTTTTTCTCTCTCTAGTTGTCTGACGTATTTTATTATGCTGAGAGAGAGCTGACTAATACAGAATTTAAAGAAAAACTCTTACTAAGCATTCAAATGCTACTGCCTAATCCACTGATCACAGTAGCTTGATTCAGAATAAGTCCAGAATTTCTGAGACCCAGATCAAGGTATCAGCAGGAGCCATGTCCTATTAGCACCCCCCAAAACCCAGTGTTCTGCCTCTGTGGTAAGAGTACCACTTCCAGCACCATTGCTGACTGATGGTCTCTCAGACCAGATCCCACTGAGCTATGCTGATCCCAAGACCAAGCCATAGAACGTAAATCTGTCAGTGGCCTAAATTTACAGTTTGTGGTGAGTCCTCCCCGACCACTTCCTTCCGAGGGTTTTTAGGATAACACACAGTTGACATTTTGATTGTGAAGAGTATTAATGGCATGGTAGAGAGAGAGTGACCTAGTCACAGAACACAGAGCTGCCCTGGTGAGATACCAACACTGCAGCCAGAGAGGGCACAGCCTGGAAGAGCCCGCTGTCAACTGCTGTCACCTCTCTGAGCAAAACGCAATGCCGAGTGAGGGTTCGTTTTTAACATTTCACTTGGCCCTAGAATAAATAAACAAACAAGCAAAAATAGCACCCAAAAGTTGAGTGGCTTTTTCAAGAACTGTGGGGAAAGAAACTGTCACACATTCATCCTTCCTGTCCTGACTACAGTGCCCGCCGTCCCTTCTTCCTCAAGCGCTCTCCTCATCCGTGATGAGAAGCTGAGGCTCATCAAGGAAAACACATGACTGGCTGTTGCAATGTGTTCACTATGACAGGGACTTGCGAATCAAATGATCTTTAGGGACATCCTCATCATAAAGGAAGACGGGACCACCACACTGGGCCCAACTCTGCATTCAGTCACAGGGATAAGAGAGGAATTTCGTTATGTCTCTATAGCAACCGACCTTTTATCTCAAATTCCTATTCTGGCAGCAACCGACGCATAGTTAGGTCAAATTGGGGTTTTTCTGAGGAATTTCAGAGTTTTCTCGTTCAAATTAGATTTTTTAAGTATCAGCTCAAAAGTTTGGTGTGCCCCCCCCTTCCTCTTTCCAGCCAAGTTTTAACATGATGGGGGTGAGTCTTCAGTCATGGACATCTCTTTCTCTTAGCACTGCTGAAACCATCTTGCCTAGCTGTCGGTAATTGTGTCTCTGTTCTGGCTTCCTCTTATGTATATGTGGCAGTCCATTTTCTGTTGCTGTAACAGAATAGCCAAGCAAGCTAACTTTATAGAGAAAGGGGTTTACTTAACTCATAGTTCTGCTGGTTCGTGGGCCAAGACCATATGACTGCCATTGGTCACCACAATGGCAAGAAAGCACTGGAAGGAAGGGATTACGCATCAAAATAGAATCCAGAGAATGATTCAGGGGTCAGCTTTACTCATGACAACTCACTCTTGAGACTCCAGGGTTTCCATAAGAACTACCTTAACTCCTCAAAAAGCAGATCCCCCAGGGACCTAAAGCCCTCCCATAAGGCTCCACCTCTCAGCACCAGCACATTAAGGGGTCAAGTCCCCAACAATAGACCCCTTGGAAACCATATCCAAACCATGAAAGTATCGTATCCCCAAACCATTCCCCAACCATGAGATCCATGGTGGTTTCCATGGATAATCACTGTCTCAACTGACTGACCCTTCCTAGGCCTGCAAGCTCCCTCAGCTCCCTCCAGGTACATCCTAGGGACCAGGAGACTATGAACCCTCCATGTGGTGACTTGACTGCTGCCCAAATGTGTCTATACAGAGACTCTGTATGTTAACAAGCATATAGAGCAGACACGAATAAGGAACGGGGTAAAATACTGACAAGCCCGTGCGGACCTGTGTGCTAGACAGAATAATATTCAGGCAAAGATATCACGATTACAACAGCAGAGCATGTGGTTGCATCAAAGCCACAGAGATCTAAGTTGCTGATTGAATTAAGATTCCTTCCAGTCAATCCTGAGGTCGGAGCCTACAGAACGATCGTGAGAGGTGGCACAGTGGGAGGAAGGCTGCAGACCATCCATCCCCCACTTTGTGTGTGGAAGGAAGTGAGAGACAACAGGGTGTGGGTTGTTTCTGGAAGCTGGCAGAGTAAGAGTCCCGATTCTCCCCAGGAGCCTCCAGGAAGGAACACAGAGGTGGAGACCTGGGTGTCAGCCTAGCGAGACCCTTTGAAGACTTCTGATCTCTTTAACTGTAAGATAATAAATGTGTGTTATTTTAAGCCACTGAGTTTGTGGTCATTTGTTTTAGCAACTACAGAAAATAATTATTTTTCAGTGCTAGGAACTGAACTCAGGGTTTAAAGCATAGAAAGCAAGTACTATACTCCCGAACTATCCTCCCAGTCCAGATCTATCCTATGGGTCATTGTTTTTCCTGAACTTCTCTGCTTTAAGACATCAGACAGAGACCATCTCGAACATCCATTCTGGCTCTCACTGTGGAACCTTTCCTTCCAACAGTCTCACCCTTCCCAGGAGCAGGTCTTGGCCAGTGCTCTCTCTCGATCCATGTGGGAAGTGTAAACCCTGTATTCTGAGTCACACTGGACTTTGGTTACAGAAACCTGTGTTTGGCTATAGAACCCTGTGTTCTGAGCCATGGTAGACCAACCTATCCCTTAGAAGCAGAAACCTAACAGACAGTAGCTTCATCACACTGGCGTTTAGTGTTCTCTTTCATAAAAGGTTATACGAGATAAACTTATGATCACTGTCTTCATCACTGGTTTTTTGTTTTGCTTTGTTTTGTTTTGTTTTTGCTGTGAAGAGACACCATAACCAAGGCAACTCTATGAAAGAAATCATCTAATTGGGGCTAGCTTACAGTCTCAGGAACTTAGTCTGTTATCGTGCGGTAGTGTCTCAAACTTGGGGAAAGCTGGGCTACGCTGAAACTATCCCTCTGAAAGTCACATTTGAAGGTAATACTGCCCTTTGTCCTGGTTAAAGCCACATGATTGTGTCTGCCTCGACCCAGAGCCTGAGTTTCTTTGCGCCTGTCACCCATGTTTGAAAGCATTAGTGTCAAACTGGATGGGGTAGCATATTGCCTGTAACTCTAGTAGTCTGGAAGCTGAGGCTGAGGATTGAGCAATCCTCAGCTACATAGCAAGGCCCTGTGAAAGGGAGGAGGGAAAGAGGGAAGGAAGGAAGGAAGGATGAACTAAGAGAGGGAGTGGAAAAACAAATCATTAGACCTGAAGGGACAGAATATCAGCAAGGGGGCAGAGGAAGTCACCAGAGGAAGTGATATGCATTGAGTGGTCGTTTTAGAGTCCACTAAGAACAAAGGCAGACACCAGACATGTGTGGAATTGGGGGAGCGGGAGAAGGCAGTTGTAGTGAAACCTCCAGGAGAGCCTGGGCTCCTGATGCAGATAAAGGAAAAACCCCAAGGGTTGCCTGAGTGGTAACAAGTGGGCTGTTAAGCAGAGTGAGTGAGATGGGCCCGCCATGCAAGCGAGGGCGGGACCAGTCACGGGATATGCTCACTCTGAGAACAGAGGGAAGGGCATTTCAGTGTTCAGCAAGTGGGGTGAGACCTGGGGAATGAATCGGTAAAGGTCCACAGGGCCAGCTGGTCAGGACCAGCCCAGGGACATAGCAGGAACTTGAAGGGAAAGCCCTACTGCAAATATCAAATGAGTCTGGGGTGGATTTCCCTTTGGCTGGGGATTGCTACTCATTCCTCTCCTCCCCTGAGCCTGCAAGGTTGGAGTAGAAGAAATCAAGACCATCTGTTTATATTAAGAGCTCCTAGGGCTGGGGAGATGGTTCATTGGTTAAGGGCACTGGCTGCTCTTGCAGAGAGAGCAGAATTTGATCCGAGTACCACTCAGATCTATGTAGCACACAGATATACATCCAGGCAAAACATCCACATGTAAAATAGTGTAATGAAATAACAATTAAAAATAAATAATAGCTAGGTGGTGATGGCTCACACCTTTAATCCCAGCACTTGGGAGCCAGAAGCAGGCAGATCTCTGTGAGTTCAAGGTCAGCCTGGTCTACCTAGTGAGTTCTAGGACAGCCAGGAATGTTACAAAGAGAAACCTTGTCTCAAAAAAATAAAAAGCCGGAGAGGAAAAGGAAAGGAAGGCAGACAGAAAGAAGGAAGGAAAAAGGGAAGAAAGGAAGGAAGGGAGGGAGGGAGGGAGGGAGGAAAGAAAGGAAAAAAAAGAAAGGAAGGAAGGAAGGAAGGAAAGAAGGAAGGAAGGAAGGAAGGAAAAGAGCTCCTAACAGATTGGAGGGTGAGAGTTTGCTGCTTGTCTCAGAAATGTGGGTGAGCTCACCACTTGGGTGACTGACAACCACAGGTGCCTAGCAGCTGTAAAATCTGTTAACTCCAGAACTGAAGTCCTTGAATTTGGAAGACAAATGCCTGCCTGCCTGGTTACTGAACACAGAGAAGAGATGAAATCCCAGAAAAGGGCTCGTATAGCTCTTGACACCGGACAAAAGCATCAAGACATGTTTTAGAAAGAATATGGTCCTCTTCCTGGACATTAAACCTGCAGCCTTTGCTCAGAACACCCTGAGTCTCTTCGACTGTTCCCTTCTCTCTGACAGTTGACAACATTCACATTCTACTCGGAGTTTACTGGAGTAGATGAATGAGTGGGAGGAAGAAAGCAGAGGCAGAGAGCCACCCGCCATAAAGCTGCCAGGTCAGACATGCTGAATCTCTCCCGGTAAGCCACGACCTCGTGGTGAGACACAGATTATTAGAAATGGGTTAAATCAATATGAGAGAGTTAGCCAATAAGAGGCTACAGCTAATGGGTCAGACAGTATTTAAAAAAATACAGTTTCCGTGTAATTATTTCCGGTAAAACTAGCCGGTGGTGGGCGGGGATGCAGCCCGCTGGTCCATTTACATGGTGCTGATTTTGTCTTGGGCTCTGGGGGTTTTCTTGTTTGTTTGGTTGAGTTTTTTGTTGTTGCTTTTGGTTGTTTTTTGTTTGTTTGTTTGTTTTGCTTTTGTTCTGTTGCTTCTTTGTTTTTATTTCAGGACAGGGTCTCCCGTAGCCCAGGCTGGCCACAAACTCACTGTCTACTTAAGGATGGCCTTGGCCTTGGCCCCTCCACCCTCTTGCCTGTGCCTTCCAAGTGCTTGGATTACAGATGTGTGCCACACCATGCCTGATAATGTTACTGAGTTTTTTTTAAAAAGAATATTATAAGTACTAAAAACTTCTAGGAAGTAATGCCCAGCACAATGACTAAAGTAATCCCGAGTGTTATACCTAGGATTCCTGCTGAATGAATTTATTTTGGCCTTCTTGCTGAAAAGGGATAAATAGATAAACAAATAGTAGGACCATGGCTTGGACACGTCCTCCCAAGTTGTGACAAGGAACCTGTAAGAGGTACTCAGGGCTAGGTGTGGTGGTGCACACCTTTAAAGCCAACACTCTGGAGGCAGAAGCAGGTGGGTCTCTGTGACTTCCAGGCCACCTGAATTCTACAGTTCAATCTACAGATCGAGTTCCAGGCCTGTGGGGCTGCATAGTGAAACCCTACCTTAAAAAAGAAATCAAACAAAAACAGGTGAAATCAGTTCCTCATGTGTTGTGGGAATTCATTCAGCCAATAATCTTTTGAATACCGGCCCATTGGGGCACAGTCCGAGGCACTATTAGCACAGACAGGAAGCCTGGTCATCCCTTTTTCCCTTTTTTTTTGGTTGGTTGTTGGAGTTTGATTCTCAGTTCCCAGGGTCCACGGAGCAGAGGAACGCTGCGGCTTGCTTGTTGTGAATGTTCCACAGTAAACATTTGCTAGCCTTTATTACGGACTCTCGTGGATCTCCTTAACGCTACAGTCACGGGTGCTTTAGTGCTTTTATCTTGGAATGTGAGATATATACCTTGCATAAGCACGTAAACACACCTGTGCTCACTTATCTTATCTCTCAGGAGATAACCGGGTAGGAATGACCTTATCAAGTGTGGGCCCTTTGATTCTGAACTTCTCAAACTCTAGAACCGCAGGAAATAAATCTCAGTTCTTTTCAATCACGTGGTCTTGGGTATTCTCTTACAGTAGTACAAAATTCAGGCAGCTCTACGAAATGATGGCTATGTCAATTTGCCTCCCATCCTACAGCATCATATTGCAACCTTAAATATACGCAATAGAACGTCTTTAAAAATAAAAGAATATAAAGGAAACATGTAGCTGAATTTTTAAACAAATAAGTATTTTTTTTCTGAAACCAGGTTTCTCTGTAGTTTTGGAGCCTGTCCTGTAGACCTGGCCGGTCCTGAACTCACAGAGATCCACCTGCCTCTGCATCCCGAGTGTTGAGATTAAAAGCGTGCACCACCACCACCTGGCTAAGCACATTATTTAAGATGAGATTCACTCAATTCAGGCAGTCATCCTTAAAGCTTTTCTGTAGTTCAGAGTAGCCCCAGAGTCTATGAAACATGTTGATTTATTTATTCATTAACTCATTGACTGTGTGAATTATTGGAAAACCAAGAGCAGGATTTCAACCAGTATAGCAAACTTACTTGCTTCAGTTTGCTATGTGAAGAAGGTACAGTATCCCTACTAAAGCTGCAGACTGTGGTTAGGCACCAAACCTAGTAATTGATGTAAAATTATTGGTGTACAGAGATCCTGAGTTCAATGACTAGCACTGAAAAAAAAAAAAGATGACAGTTAAACTTTAAAAGGTGGGTGTAAGGTTAGAGAGATGGCTCAGCGGTTTAGACAGCTTACTGCTTTTCCAGAGGCCCCGAGTTCAGTTCCCAGCAACCACACCAAGCAGCTCACAATTGCCACTAACTTCAGCTCTAGGGGATCCCACCCCCTTGTCTGGCCTCCTTGGGCACCAATATATGTGCCAAGCACACACACACACACACACACACACACACACACACACGTATTTTTAAACATAATAAACCTTAAATAAATAAATAACAGGTGTAGTATCACACTCTGATAATGCCAGCATTCAGGAGGGAGCAGAGAATCAACAGTTTGGAACCAGCCTGACCTACAGAGGGAAGTCCCTGTCTCAGACAGAAGAAAGAGGGGAAAAAATGAAAGAAAAAAGTATCACCTTCAAGAATGTGAGTAAAAAAGAGATAAGCACCAAAATCATGAGGTTTACTTTTAAATATTTAGCAAGTATGGAATTCAGTGGTGTCTTCTATC